GGATAGGCTGTTACTTCATATGATGAAGGGGTTTGCACTGCACTGTGGCTCAGGGTCTCTTGCAGTCCCAGCACACCAATAACCCTCTTTACATTGTATTGCTAGGATGGACTGAGGTTCCAGAGATGTCTGCAGCTTTATGGTGTCTTGCAACTCAGGGGCTTCTTCCATCTTCAGAGTCATGGTATGCAAATAAACTCTGAACCACAGTGTGGAAAAAAGACATAAAACTGCGTCATTCAAGGACTGCATGCCACACTTGAAGACATGGTGCAGTGTAACCAAAAGGGCAGAGATGGGGGGAGAATGGAAGAAAATACAGTCTCTTACCTTTTTGAGGCTCAGGACTGGGAGAAACCAAGCTTGAAATGTTTGGGTCTGATGTGGATACTTGCTTAACCATCTGCAATTTTCAGCTAATTATCAGGGTTCCAATGGATGCCCTAATTAAACCATGAGCCTTGAGCCAATTTTCAAAAGAAATACAGTCATTTATTAGGAATAGCAAGTGGGGAGTACAGGATTGCTGTTGTCAGTTATATGGTCAAGTAACGTTGCACTATATGACCACATCATTTAGCAATGGACTCCATTCCCAATTGTGGTTGTATGTCATTACAGCCTATAATGAATTCTATGTGAGATTTTCTTTGTATTTTATCTGGAAAATCTTGCTGTAATGAGTTATACTGTATGTATTAGCAGGATCGCTGACTGGAGTATCTCATCATATATTCATCACACTTGTACTACAGCAACTGCACTACATCTAGCTCCTGGGCCAGATTCTAAGTTTTTGAATTGGTACATATAGTTCTAAAAAACTTGTGACTAGGATATCTATTAAAAACCTGCTAAAAATCTACTTTAATAAGATCCACAGAGAACCTAATGCACTGACCAGAAATTGTTGATTGTCATCTTGACATCTATCATTGACAAGCCTTTTAAGTAGCTTTTGATTTTTTTAACAGTCTCTCCTAATACCCAAGGATACCGATTCTCCTTTAAATGTACTATAAAGGAAAAAAAAGTGTAGGGATTTTTATTTTAAATTATATATTTTCCTTCATTTTGATGAAGATGTTTTATATCAACTCTGCTAATATACCTTTTTAATTAAACAGACTTTAAAACAGCATGAAATATTTTAGTGGAAAAACACTTTTAATAAAGACTTTTTTCCTACACTGATCCACTTCTTTTTCAATCATTGTTTTATTAACATTGAAATCTGATTTAAGATAAATGTTCATGGTACTTTCTTCCTCTAATTGTTTCACATTCTTCTAAAATTCAGGTTTTCATTAGTATATAAGAAAAAATACATTGACAAATGGAAATGTATGTAATTGGACATGGATTGCCCAAAACGAGTCCTTTAATGTAGTCTACTGAAGAACATATTGCTGGATGATTCCATGTCACAGAATTGCCTGATGGTGCTGTGAAGGATGTGCGTCAGACAGATGAATGACACTCCTTTCTTCCTTTTCCAATTCAGGGAATATATAAGAATGAAGGACATTATTTCAGACCGAGTCCAGATTTTTTTCCCTCTTTGATGCTGCTTCAAAGGCTATTTTGCAATAACCATTTTTGTAAAGTTTTGTAATAAATCAAAGTTGGATGACTGGTCTAGTGAATGACATCCTTATCTATGGAAAGAGTTTGTAATCTTTGAGGAATGTAAATTTCTATTTTATTATTTTTTAAACTTAAAATTATAATTAAGAATCACTCTAGATTAGTTTGATCAGTTTCTTGAAACAAAATATAAAATCAAACATATTGCAATCGTTTAAATAAACTACTTTTTCTGCAGACGTGAAGATTTGATTTCTGGTAATATTTCTTTTTCCCAAATATGATTTGAATCCAATAATTGGAACTTTCACTGTTACCTTTTGGGGTGTTTTTATAATTTAAATAAAGTATCTGAACGTTTGGAGAAAAGTTTTACATTTACTGGAAATCTTATTGATATCTACACTAAATGTTGTGAGTAAACTTTGTTATTTTGAGATTGCTTTTCTATTATGGATACAAAGATACAAATAACGTTTTTCAGCTAACACTCAAGCAACATGTCCATTTCATTGTGGTTTTGCTATAAATGTTTTTGCAGTATACAAATATAGGAGAATTCTATAGAGTAGATACAGATAGATTAACATTGTAATATTATTACTATTGAGTAACATTGCTGGAAACAAAAATCAGGATACAGGTGAAAACTCAAATCATCAGAAAGTATTCTAAAAAAATTATGTTGCGGAATTTGAGAAATAATGTAGATGAGGATTGACAATGTTTTTCATTTGTTTTGTACTTGCCAAAGAAATAAAACTCATTAGAAAGTGTTCACTTGACTGATCAATGGAACCGGATACAGAGGAAGCTCGGTAACAATTTCTAGAGTCAGTACTCTAGGGAAGATAGAGAATTAGATTACTAAGGTATATTTAGGAAGTAAAAAAAGGAAACTTTCTTTTATCATGTTATGAATACTGGGATCTGAAGTGCAATGCAATTCATGACTTTTATGATTCTCTAACATGTGCTTCATCCCATGTGTCATATCTTGTGGATGGTTGGATGCATAAGTATCTGGAGCTTGGAAGTAGTCAGTGCCTGTTTAGAAGGAGAAAGATTTCTGTCAGGTGTTGTCCAATTCTGTCAATTTCTGTCAAAGCCAATTAGGTCTAGTGATTAAATCACAAGGCTAGAAACCAGGAGACCATGATTTCTTGTAGTACCTTAGCATGAAAGCCGGCTGGGTGACTTCGGGCCAGTCACTCATTCTCTCTCAGTCCAATTCATCTCACAGGATTGTTGTTATGGGGAAAATAGGAGGAGGAAGGAATATTAGGTATGTTTGCTACTTTGAGTTACTTATAAAAGTTACAAAGGTGGGATTTTTAAAAATGTTCAAAAAGTCCCCTTAAGGAGATAATATATTCATTTTAAAGAGAAATGTTCTTGTCCTGAAAACTATCATCCTATCTGCAGTC